TCTCCAGCTCCCAATTAATAAAGTAATTCAATATGAAAAAACACAAAGAATGTGGCTTAGTCATAGAGTGTTTACCTAGCATGCATGAAGCTGGGTTCAATTCCTCAATACTACATAAACAGAAAAGGCCAGAAGTGGCGCTGTGGCTCAGGTGGTACAGTGCTATCCTTGAGCAAAAAAAGCAGCTCAGGGACAGTGCCCAGGTCCTGAGTTCAAACCCCAGGGAAGAAAGGAAGGGAGGAAGGGAGGAAGGGAGGGAGGGAGGGAGGGAGGGAAGGAACGAGAGAAAGAACAAAAGACATTTTCTAGTCATAACAAACAGAATTTAAGAAGAAAAAAATCATTTCTTACAATTATCTTTTAGGCACCTATCAGTAAAAGCTACTAACTATACCAAAATGTATTTATGAGATTTGCTTTTGAAAACAGGGGGACAGGGGTGGGTAGAGCACCCTGCAATGTGTTGGAAGAGGTAAAGAAACAAGATTGACAACTTTGAAAACTTCACTGTGCCATTTCCTTTTATGTATGTCTGAAAATTTCCACAATATTCATAAGCCCAAAGCAAATAAAGTTGTAGACTAGCAATAAAAATTCTGTTTCACCTACTGCAACAGAAACACATTAAGATTCTGTTTGGTTTGTTAGTGGGGCATGAACTCAGGGCCTTGGGTACTGTCCCCAAGGTTTTTTTTGCTCAAGGGTAGCTTTCTATCACTTGAGCCACAACTCTACTTTTGGCCCTTTGGTGACTAAATGGAAGAGTCTCAAGGACTTTCCTACACACTATCTTTAGATCTCAGCCTCCTGAGTAGCCAGGATTATAGGTGTGAGCCACCAGCACACAGACTCACACTTCAGTTTCTGAATATGAACACTTTTGTTTTCTTAGAAGTGTAAATTAGGTACTGGTTAACAGAAAGTGTTAAAAAAAATCTTCAGTTAATAAAAACAAGAAGGGGGGCTGGGAAAGTGGCTCAGTGGTAGAGCGCTTGCCTTGCATGCCTGAGGCCTTGGGTTTGATTCCTCCGCACCACATAAGCAAAAAGAAAAAAGCCGGAAGTGGCACTGTGGCTCAAGTGGCAGAGCGCTAGCCTTAAGCTGAAGAGCTGAGGGACAGCACCCAGGCCCAGAGTTCAGGTCCCACGACCGGACC